ATATATATATATATATATATATATATATATATATATATATATATATATATATATATATATATATATATATATATATATATATATATATACGCATACGCACGTACATACAGATACACACACAGCAAAGACACACCTATGGAGTTCCTTGTTGTATTATTATCATCACCATCTCTATCTTACCCATTCCCCCGTATTAATATATTTTCGTCAAAGGTGCACACATTAAGTTAGAAAGTTCTAAATAAAAACTGCGAAATAAAAACTCCTTAATACTTTCACCTTAAGTTTGTTCAATGAAGATACTTCAATCGTTATCTGTAGAATAAGCGAGGAAGGATGTCTTACGTTACATAAAGGTAGTAAATAGGTAAGACGACACATGCCTTCTCGTGCATTTTTATTTGTATTTTGCAATTTATTTATTTCGAAAGACTTATTTTGGATTTTAATGTCTTTTAAATGCAGTTTTCAAAACAAATTTCAAATGAAAAAAAATCAATTCTCAACTTCTAATTGTCATTGTAAATATACGAAGTAATATGGGAAAAGAAATATAATGAACTTTACTACAATATATCCCACACAGGCAAAGTACACCTTGCCTGACCTTCTGCACTTTTTACGACAATTAGATATTCAGAAAGAAATTTAACATTCTTTCAAACAAATTTCCAGATAATCTTTTGAATTAAAAACTATCCATTTTCATCCACATTACACAACATATAAGAAAAGGGGAAACAAAATAAAAATACTATAAATTTCCATCTACTTATGTAATACATATTTACATATGTTTGATATAAATGCCCATACATATTTCAGAGCAATTAAAACTTTTTACGATATTGTAATCATAACCATACTACCCGTTCATTTGAAAGCAATGACTACAAGTATTAAGCAAACAGGGATTTCTTCATAATTCACCTGACTGAAAAGTACAAAATCTCCCATCAACTTGCCTGTTTAGAATCGCTCATATGTATTTATCAAAAGATAATTCTAATTGAAATGTAACCATTAAAAGCGATTCTTTTTCAAAACGATTCATTTAACTTTTATAAAGGAATTCTCACAATCCTTTAAAAGTAAATTCATAAAAATCAAAAATCATTAGCGGTTACAGCTAACACCTGAACAACTTAATCTGAACTTTGAAATAATTGATTCATTGTCGCTATCGCTGAAATAAATTCAATTATATAGCAGAATGTTAGAGTTAAGAAAAATTTGTCTAAAAAATTTCATTCATCAAATCAAATCCAGCCATGAATTAAATTAATCGAATGAAATTAAATAAATAAATAATTCAACAAGATTACATTGAGACCATACACATACATGCACGTAGATGTACGCAGACATACATAGGACATGTATAATACATACGTACACTTATACATACCCAACAGTCATTACCATCATCATATTCACAGCTAGTTATGGTTCAAATTCTATCCACTGTTGGAATGATGCCAGAGAAGAAGTGGAATCAGCCATCAATGCAGGTAGAAATTTATGTTTCCCGATCGGTTATCATATACCGAAAGAGAAACTAGTAACAATCGTAAAAGATATAAGAAGAGAAAATATGATAAAATTATGATGGGAAGAAAGTGTATTTTAAAAAGAAAGAAAGAAAGAGAGGATGTATGTACTTTGATAGGTAAACCTTGTAGTATGATGGAAGTACAATAAACTAGTGAAAAAATGTCAAATGAAGAGGTTCAGATCAGAAACGAAAGTTACTGAAAAAGTGAAATCTGAATCTATATTTAGAGGAGGGGAGAAAAAGAAGAAAAGAGGATGAATGTGGGTGTGTAATAGAAATTCCAGGTATAGTGCGCAAGTTGAAATGCTCTTACAAAACATAGTTGAAATGATGCACAACAACAACAACAACAAACAAACAAACAAACAACAAACAAACAAGCAAACAACAACAAACAAACAACAAGCAAACAACAAACAA